ATGCTTTGACCTTTGATATGAAGCCATAGCTGAGTTAAACACAATGGAATAAATGAAAGACAAAATAATACACATTAATTCAAGAATTTTCCCCAACCCAGCTCTTCAAGATAGCATTTAGCTAACGATTTCTTGTCTTTAAAGAATTAGCTAAATAAGTAGATTATAAATTAGAATATAGCATTGAAACACAGTGTTACTAATTCTTTACGCAGCCAAATGGGGTCTTAAAAACTTCATATATTTTTAAAATATAAATTTACCCGCAAGATTACTTTTTGTGGATAAGAAGACTAAGATCGTCTGGTCTTAAACTTTCTCGCAGTCTCCTATGTCTGTATAGTGTTGGTTTAACCTCGTCTGTCGCGATTTACTTGAAGCGACAGGAAAACACCTTTAAAATGTCCCCAGTTCCGCCTTCTCTGCTATATTATCCATGCTAGTTTCCAGTTCCACAAGGTCTTCTTGTAGTCCCGAGAAAGTTGCCAATACGAGATCAAACCAAAATTATACTATAAAATACTACGCTATACTATTCATTATGCACTACACTACACTATATACTATATTTATATATACTATATATACTATATATACACACTATATACACTATATACTATTCATCTAAAAAAGACTACAAGCAAACTCAAGTTCATGCCAGCTTGCTCTTCTTAACTACGGCAGTAATCTGTTGTCTTGCTCAACCTAAAATGACACTTTTTTCAGGCTCAGTGGATTCCTACTTTTAATGTTGGCAAGAACACAAAACAATAACGCACGACGAACATGTTGTCAGGGCTAACTTGACTTTCCCTCTTTACTTCTTTATTTGAAGTTCGTCTATGACTTATGACATCTCTCAAACATATAATGTTGAGAAATTTACGATCTCATTCACTTCAACGATGCCTCAATAAACATGTTGAGCTTCTAAAAACTTTACAAGAATGTATCAGAATCATTCTTCCAATTTTAGATTTCCACGGAACCCTTACGGTAAACTGATAAGTTGAAGTGTCAGCTCGGATAAAACCGGAACTCTGGATTTATTTTTAGATTCTATTTCCAGAAGTAATATTACTGTAATTAGCTATCGACGTCTCCTTAGCGAATATCCTTATGGTTCTTTTATATAATTGTGAACCACAGTTTTTTATTTCAATGATTGTAATATTAAGCAAAATCCTTATAGTAATTATGAAACACATGGAAACAGTGCAAATGGCAGGCCGGAACGAGGAGAGCCAATGAAGTCAGCCTTAGTTTTCAGTTTCCGATGAACTGGCTTTTCATGCTTGAGTTAAGTTTATGTGAATTTACCCGGAAAACATGTCACAAAACCGAACTCAGAACATTACTGCACAACCAGATAAAACTGCGTCTATGCCAATGTCTCGTTTAGCTAATTGCCATTACAAAGTTGGTCTGATCCGGTTTTTGCAACTTAGCCGAACTGCACCTAATGCTTCTTTTGTCTCTTCCTCCTCCAGTAACCTGTCGCTTCGCCAGTATCGTCAGAAAGTTAAGCTATTTTTAGCATTAGCTGCACTTATATCATGTTCCTACTAATTTAGCTACTAATTGACGTTACTGACATCAATTTCTGCTAACAGTCTGTCAACATAATCAGTCAACGAGCTTTTGCAGGATGAAGACATGACAAAAACGGCAGAAAATGAGGTTGCAGATAAACTCTTTGAAATTTTTCTAAAAATATGGTTATGTTGCGAAAATTAATTCTGTTTAGCAAAAGTTAAATGTGAAACATCAAGAGGCTTCTCCATTTTATTGGTGGAGGAACTTTCATTTCGTATGCAAGTGCATGAAGAAGAGATTGGTAGGTCTATCTCATCAGAAGAGGATGGCTAGATCCCGTTGTACTGCAGCCATTGGGTTTAATACGACGTTTAGGTTGACGCAGTCTACGAGACTTCTGCCCTCGTTTCGCGTGAAATCAGGCTGAGCTTTCGTCGATCATATGATGGACATCATCAGAGCTGGAACTCATTCCTGTGAAAGTCTCATGCCCTAGTGTTGACTTGAGACTTCAAAAAGTATGACTTCCAGCTCGGAAGATGTGCATCATATGATGGATGAAAGCTCAGCCTGTTTTCACACCAAACGAGGGAGGAGGTCTTGTGAACTGCGTCAACCTGAGCGTCGTATAAAAGCCAAACGGCTGCAGTACAATGGAATTCAGCCATCCTCTTCTGGTGAGATCGACCTATAAATCTCTTCTTTATGCATTTTCACATGAAATGAAAGTCCCCCAACAATGTTATTTCAGGAGATTGATCGAAACCCAATTACTCTTCGTATCTGCTCCTTAATCTACGTACCAACAAATATTGTAGATACGAAGAGAAACTGGGTTTCGATTAATCTCATCAGATAACATTGTTAGGGGG